TAATGAAATACATAGGCTTATTTATAGTTGAGTTTTAAGGACTAAACTTATAAATAACCTAATATTTTAGGGATCAAACATGAAAAATTATATTGGCCACCTACCAAGGAATTTTCCAATGTGTACAAGTTAGCCACCAAATATGAAATTCTCATATTCAAAGTTTGGCCACCAACTAAGATGAAATTTCCAATAAGTTGGCCACCAACCAAGATGAAATTTCAAACTTGCCAACCTAATTTCAAGCCAAAATCTAACATACACGAACAAGATTTTATGCCTCGCGGTATATGCTACAAACCTGTGTTCAAACATTCAATATTTCAGTCATAATCTCTTTCGGTAAAGGAGCAGAGGGACCTTCCTTGGAGTCAAAACTAGCCAAAGGACTTTCCGAGCTCGATATACGATTCCTCGCGAACCCCCTTCTGATTACTCAAATAGTCTCGGATCGACTCTTTTGCGGACTCCGCCATTCGTCTAAACTTAGCGACATCTTTGTTTAAATATATAAACGATAATAGAGGCATGTCCGAGATACGTATATGCACAAAATTTGATATATTAATGGAAACTTGATTCTGTATCAAGTTTACCATTTTTTATGTCTGTGGGCTTGTGATCTATATCTTCCTTCTTAATGGCATAATTGTGTGGCAATACTGTTATGTTTGTGCTATCCAAACTGATACGAGTTGCGATGATAATACACAAGAAGGGGAAATGATGAAAGCTGCAGTGTACCATGAACTAACTACACGTTCATCAACTTAAACGGCTGGAACTCGTGTCAAGAATATAATTAGTGGACAACTACCGGGACGTTCTCGTGACCTTCTTGTCGATAATTGGCATGCTTTGACTTCATATCGACCCTGACTGTTTACTGAACTTTCTCGTGTTATCCTGTAACCTTACTTGTTTCGATACTTGGGTAGGAGGATTTGGACTCAAAAGTTACCTTTTATGGAAAGGTTTGCTACTCTGGGTTACCACCATTGCGTTTTAGCCTCAACAATGTTTGTTCATCAAGTCACCCGTTTCAGGTTCCGGTATAATAGTAGTTTAAAAGCTATTAATCGATTCAATTATTCAGAATTCAATATCATATTATGAATAAGCAAGAGCTTAAATGTGTCACAAAGCTTCAAGGGCAGTACTTCATGGAGAGCAAGCAGATACAAATATTCATGCGTGTTTAGTTATGTTAAGCCAATGGCTTGGTTATTCGATGTTTTCGAACATTTTGCAGGCTGCAGTGATCAACTCAAAGCTTCGTGATCATCCTGTTTTGTAGTGATCATCCTTGAGCTCCAGATCAGTTGCACTCCGAGGAAACATCGATGGCCGATGAGCAGTCAAAGAAGCCGTGTGGTTGCATTGCAGAGAGAAAGGGTGGGTTAGCTTCAAAATCCATGCTTTTATCGACCAAGCCGTAAAGCTACTATTTCGTGTTATTTTCCCCGTTTCCACGTAATGTTTTCGATTGCAAGTGGAAGCGGCGACAAGATATCTTATTATTGCAAGAGTGGGAGCGTAATGACCCGAGCCGGGCTATCTATTTCGAGCATTTTGTTTAGCATGCAAACCTATCACCCGAGCTGGGCTATCCATTTCACGCATTTTTGTTTAACATTCAATCCCATCACGATAGCGAACGGTGTCGTAAGGGAGCATTGCGTCGACATTTTTAGACTAGATAAAACGGTAGTTTAACAATGGCGGATGACTTCATAATCAATAAGAAAAAGATTGTATCGGAAACTTAATTGATAAGCCACATGCCTCAGACCACGACTACCATCAATGTAAGCAAGAGAACGTATTACCAGGCCCCCTCCCTAGGAGCGAAACTGATTCGGAAATTCCACTGAAATTAACAACAATATATGTCATCTTATTCTACAATTTTTGCCATCATTTCTTATGCATTGTTCTTCTCGTTTATTTTGGAATGGTTTTTTTTTGAAGCAAGATGATTAAGCTACGGATTTTCTGGTACGATCTGAAATCCCTGTCGAACAAAAAATAAAACACGCCCTCTTTTGTCCGGTTAGTAGAGAGCAAGGCTGTTAAACTTATTTTAAAGGTGTTTATTTCACGATAACTTGGTTATTAAACATCGAATTTTAAGCATATCTTGTAAAAGAGGTGACGACGAAATGAATAATACACTTTCCAACACACTAACCAGCAAAAACCAATAAGTATGAATTGAAGAGCACATAAATTAAAGACTAAACAGCATATGTTATTGTCACACCCTTGGAACTTAAACACCTCGAACGTGCGACCTTAGTTGCCTTCTCTGTGATTGCGGCTAAGTCAGCCTGAAAACAACCCAAGCAAAGATGCTTAGATTTCCAACGGAAGCAAAAACAATAGAACTTAGCACAAAAAGAAAGACAAGAGAACTTTGAGAGAATGCTCTGTGATTTCTCAAAATGAAGAAGTGAGTACAAATGAGGAGGAGATGCCTCTATTTATAGTGGAAGCTCCATTCAATGAACGACTAAGATCTAAGTACATCGACGGCCTAGATTAAATACAATCTCCTAAATCTCACAAATCAAGGGATTGTGATTACAAATCTCTCTTAAGTAAGGAAACTCTATCAAACTAGCTATATGTTGCCTTAGATAAAAGATTACGAAGTTTATGGAAAGAATCATGAGGATTTTGCATTAAACCAAGGATTCTTCTGCCATAAACGTGCAAGGCTCTTCATCTCCATAGAATGGGCCAGTCTTCATGGGTCCAGAAAGGTCCAACACGCCACATAAGTGCTCTTGGCCTACTCCTCGTGTGTTGACCCCGGTTGTGGGCTCGCGGTCCGTGACATCCTCCCCCACTACTTTCGATGACGTCCTCGTCACTCGTCTGGCATGAAACTGGTCTATCATCGTCTTGAAATTCCAAAGTCCCTCGGCATGCTCCCAACTCCCTTCACACTCGGGTTGTCCCTTCCATAGAACAAAGTATTCATGCCTTGGGCGGTGTCCTGGTCATCGAATAACTCTTTCTTCCTGTATGTCTTGGATCTCCTTATCATAGGAGACCGCAACTCTGACTGGCGCTCGGTGGGACTTGCCTCGATCTGGATCCTCTGCATCCTGATGGTACGGTTTGAGTAGACTCACATGGATGACGGGATGCGCTCGGATGGTTGGAGGCAACTCCAACTTGTAGGCCATGGTGCCTACCCACTTCACAACTCGGAACGGACCCTCATACCTCTGCACAAGTCCCTTGTGCACATCTGCATGGCGTAAAATGTTGGCCAGTTTCATAAGGACAAGATCGCCAACTTCAAAGTTCACGTCCCTACGCTTTCGGTCGGCCCATTTCTTGGTCCGCTTCCCCGCCTTGTGTAAACAAGCTCGGGCTAAGTCATGCTGCTCATGCCACTCCTTGGCAACATTGTGTGCTGATGGATTTGGCCCCTCATACTTGGTAACAACCGTGTTGGGTGTCAACGGTTGTTGCCCGGTCACAATCTCGAATGGACTCTGGTTTGTCGCCTCACTCCGTTGTAAGTTGTAGGAAAACTGAGCCACATCCAACAACTTTGGCCAGTCGCGTTGGTTGGCACTCACATAGTGCCTCAGATAAATCTCCAACAAAGCATTCACTCGCTCGGTTTGCCCATCGGTTTGTGGATGAACTGCGGTGGAAAAGTTCAAGCTTGATCCCATTAGCTTGAACAACTCTGCCCAGAACCTTCATGTGAACCGTGTGTCTCGGTCACTAATGATGGTTTTCGGCATCCCCCAAAACTTCACCACGTGTTTGAGGAATAGTCGAGCCGCCTCCACGGCTGGACACACCTTAGACGCTGGAATGAACGTCGCATACTTTGAAAACCTGTCAACCACAACCATTATACTTGAAAATCCATCAGTCTTGGGCAAACCAATGATAAAATCCATAAAAATACTCTCCCATGGGCGCTCAGGAATGGGCAAAGGTTGCAGTAGTCCCGCCGGTTTCTTTGCCTCAATTTTGTCTTGTTGGCACACAAGACAAGTCTTCACATAGGCTTGTACATCTTTGGCCATGTGTGGCCAATAGTACTACTCCGAAAGTAGTGCCAAGGTTTGATCAACTGCCGGATGTCCTGCTCACTTGGAATCATGGCATTCCTTCATGAGCTCATTGTGCAGCTTCCCATATCGAGGCACAAAGAGACGATGTCCTCGATAATAAAGCAACTCTCCCTCGAGCCAAAACTCCCTGGTTCGCCCCTCCTTAGCTCCATCAATGATTCTCTCGGCCACAGGGTCATGGGGCAACCCTTCTTTGATCCTCTCGAGCAAAGTACCTTCCACAGTCTCAATGGCATATCTCCGGCTTAAGCCATCCGCAACACAGTTCACCTTCCCTGGCTTGTACTCCATGGAAAAGTTGAACTCGGCAAGAAAACTCTTGCCAACGAGCCTGCTTGGGAGAGAGCTTCTTTTGGGTGAGAAAATAACTATTTGTAACATTATTGGTAAATACCACAAACCTGGAACCAAGCAAATAGTGTCGCCAAATGCGCAAGCAGTGCACCACTGCAGTCATCTCCTTCTCATGAACCGAGTACCTCCTCTCGGTCTCATTGAGCTTCCGGCTCTCATATGCAACCGGATGTCCCTCTTGCATAAGGACTCCACTAATGGCAACATCGGATGCATCGGTGAAAACAACAAAAGGCTTGGTGTAATCTGGCAACACCAACACGGGCTCATTCACCATGGCTTCCTTGATCTTTTCAAAAGCCTCCTGGCACTCCGTGCTCCATTCCCACACCTTGTCCTTTTTGAGTAACTCGATCAAAGGTGTGGAAATCTTGGAATAGCCCTTCAAGAACCGTTGGTAGTAGTTGGCTAGTCCCAAGAATGCTCTCAACTCGATCGCCTTGCTGGGTGGCTTCCACTCAACAATAGCCTGAATCTTGTCCCTATCCATTTGGAGTTTGCCCCTCCTCCAACAACATGGCCTAGAAACGGCACTTCCTTCTACACAAACGAGCACTTTTCCTCCTTGACATAGAGCTCATTCTCCCGTAAGACTTGGAATACCCTTCTCAAGTGCTCAACGTGTTCCTCCAAGGTCTTACTATACACCACAATGTCATCAAGGTAAACTACAACGAAATGGTCAAGAAAGGGTTGTAGTACCTTATTCATCAATGTACAGAAGGTAGCCGGGGCATTTGTGAGGCCAAAGGGCATCACTAGGAACTCATATGAACCATAGCGCGTCACACAAGTAGTCTTTGGTTCATCGCCTTCGACTATCCTGACTTGGTAGTATCCCGACCGCAAATCTAACTTGGTGAACCACCTTGCACCACCAAGTTGATCAAACAAGTCGGCAATCAATGGGGATTGGGTACTTGTTCTTTACAGTGAGCTTGTTCAAAGCTCGATAATCGATGCACATTCAGAGGGAGCCATCATGCTTCTTCTGGAATAGCACCGGTGCACCAAAGGGTGCCTTCGACGGTCGGATATACCCCGCATCTAGGAGCTCTTTCAACTGTCTGCGAAGCTCCTCTAACTCCGGTGGGGCCATACGGTATGGTGCCTTGGCGGGTGGCTCTGCATTCGGCACGAGCTCAATCTTGTAGTCCACCTCTCTCTTTGGTGGCAAACACTTTGGTAACTCTGTTGGCATCACATCCCTAAACTCCGCCAACACTCGTCCCACTTCAGTCAGGACTTCCTCAGTCATTGTGGGCTCAGTTTCCACCAATAAAGCCACAAAGGTGGGTTCCTCCCTGCGCACCCCCTTTGAGAACTGGTTTGCGGACAACATCTTGGCATCAGCTTTGGACTCTCGACTACCCAGAACAATGCATTGGTGCTTCGGATCACAAATTACTAGGCAATCGGCAAATGGCAAGGGGAATGCATTAATCTGATCAAGGAAACTAATCCCAATAACAAAGTCGAAGTCATCAAGTGGGATTACCTTTATGGACTCCTTCCCGGTCCATCCTCCAATGCTAAGCTTGATTCCTCTTGCTTCCCTAACAATCAGAACTTCATTGAAATTGACGGTTTTGATGAACCCACTTGTCTTCTCCACGCGAAGATCAAATTTCATGGCAGCTTGTTCGGATAAGAACAACTCTGAGGCACCTCTGTCTACTAGTGCACTCATCTTTTGGCCTGCCACGGTGATGTTCACGTACATCAGTCCCTTCTTCTTACGACCCTTCTTGATCTCCATGGAACTAATGATGGAACCAAGCTTCAAGGTCTCCTTCTCTTCCCCATCATTCTCCTTGATGGCAGCAACTTTCACAAGCTGAGGACAATCCCTCTTCATGTGATTTCCACCACAGTTGAAACACGATAGATCACCCTTCTTCTCCCAAGGATTGGAGAGCTTTTTTGGTCTATCATTCTATTTCCCATTACCCCCGGCTGGCTTGTTGAAGCCTCATTTGGCATTCTCTCCCCCACCATTACCTTTGGGTTTTGGCTTTGGTTTGACAGAGTCGGTTTTCTTCACTTCAAACGGGGCAATGGCCTCGGCTTCATCCAATGCCTTGGAGAGAGTTTTTACTCCTCTCCTCTGGATCTCCAACTTGGCCCAACGTTGTAGTCCATCCATGAATGCAAAGAACCCTTCTGACTCACCCAAGTCGGGAATTTGCATCTTGATCTCAGTGAAGTTCTTAACATACTCCAAGATTGTACGGTCATGCTTCAACTACTTCAGTTTTGCTCGAGCCTCGAGCACAGCATTCTTCGGGTAGAAATGCTCTTTGAGTTCGCCCACGAACTCCTCCCATGTCCCGACCGAATCCGTCATCTCGGAACACCTGTGTCGCCACCATAACATAGCAGCATCAGCAAGATAATTTGAAGCAACATTTACCTTGGTGGCATCATCCCCGATGCCCATGCCTCGGAAGAATTGCTCCATGCCCCAGATGAAATTCTCCACATCTTGGGCAGTTCGACTCCCCTTGAACTCCTTCGGCTTAGGTATGTCGATCCTGGGTCTTGGTGCCTGTGCCTCCCCAGTCACTCCATTCAACACTGCAGCCTTGTAGACAAGCAGCTCTCTCTTGAGCTCCTTCATCTCCCGCATCATTTCGGCCCTCATAGCCAAGTACATGTTCTCGAGACCTCGGGTACGCTCATCCACCGTCTCTGTCAGGTCGTAGATGAGTGTTTGGGTTTCTTCGCGAAGCACATCCTCCACAGACTCCAGTTTCTCTAGGCAAGATTCAACTGAGTCTTGAGTCTCCTGGACTTCGTTATATCGATCTTCAACCTACCAACCCTTTGCTCAAATGATGCCACAACATCCTTCGAGCTTCCACGCTTCTTCGTCGCAACAGCACGAGTCTCCATCACTTCACTGGCTGCTGGGATCTCGTCATTGTTGTGTTGTGCCATTTCTCGCAAAACCTGGCTCTGATGCCACTTGTCATGCCCTTGGAACTTAAACACCTCGAACGTGCGGCCTTAGTCGCCTTCTCTGTGATTGCGGCTAAGTCAGCCTGAAAACAACCCAAGCAAAGATGCTTAGATTTCCAACGGAAGCAAAAACAAGAGAACTTAGCACAAAAAGAAAGACAAAAGAACTTTGAGAGAATGCTCTGTGATTTCTCAAAATGAAGAAGTGAGTACAAATGAGGATGAGAGGCCTCTATTTATAGTGGAAGCTCCCCTCAATGAACGGCTAAGATCTAAGTACATCGACGGCCTAGATTAAATACAATCTCCTAAATCTCACAAATCAAGGAATTGTGATTACAAATCTCTCTTAAGTAAGGAAACTCTATCAAGCTAGCTATATGTTGCCTTAGATAAAAGACTACAAAGTTTATGGAAAGAATCATGAGGATTTTGCATTAAACCAAGGATTCTCCTGCCATAAACGTGCAAGGCTCTTCATCTCCATAGAATGGGCCAGTCTTCATGGGTCCAGAAAGGTCCAACACGCCACATAAGTGCTCTTGGCCTACTCCTCGTGTGTTGACCCCAGTTGTGGGCTCGCGGTCCGTGACATTATCATTGAACCAAACAATAGATGTACAATAAACAGTAGTGAAGTAAAGTGCAAAACCAAATTAATATTTTATTCCAAGTAATCACAAAGGTGGTCGGAGTTGAACTGTGTACTTATCCCGTTTTGGGATGTCCAATTAATATTTTTGATTACAGATAATATATCTTAATAAATAATATATTAGAGTTTAATTAGAATAGGGTTGTGCTTTTCTAATTACAATAATTAACAGTGTATTTAGAATAGGTCTCTACTTTACACCACTATATAAACAAGCCACCCAAGTAACTTCTCCTTCAAAGTCCCAAGTAACTTCTCCTTCAACGTCTACTCTCCTTCAAAGTCAAAACAAAAGCAGCATGGCAAGTTTTGTTTCCTCGGCTATTCTCCGCCTCTTCATGTTCTTTCCCATCGTCATTCCCCTGCCCATGTCAACGAATTCACGTTGGATTGTTGATGAGGGAGGACGACGTGTGAAGCTGGCGTACGTGAACTGGTCGGCTCACTTGGAACTGATGGTTGCCGAAGGGCTCAGCAAGCAGCCTATGGATACGATCGCCAAACGGATTGCGTCGATGGGATTCAACTACGTCAGGTACACTTGGCCGGTCTATCTGATCACCAATGAGTCCTTAGCATCCCTTACCGTTAGACAGTCGTTTCAACAACTCGGCTTCGTTGAATCCATCGCTGGAATTCAAGCCAACAACCCTTCGATCATCGATGTTCCCCTCATCAAAGCTTACCAGGTATCACAGATTTTTCAACTCTCCTATTAGAATTGAATAAACAACATGTCTCAAACTTAATCTACGGCATTGATTTATTGATTGGTGTTTTTATTCCAGGCAGTGGTGTCAAGCTTAGGGGCAAACAATTTGATGGTCATACTTGACAACCACATCAGCAAACCCGGTTGGTGCTGCAATAATTTAGACGACAACGGTTTCTTCGGTGACAAGTACTTCAACCCGGATCAATGGATCACCGGGCTGACTCAGATGGCCATCTTATTCAATGGTGTCACCAACGTGGTCGGCATGAGCTTGAGGAACGAGCTAAGAGGCCCGAAACAAAACATCAACGACTGGTACAAGTACATGCAGAAAGGAGCCGAAGCAGTGCACTCGGCAAACCCGGATGTCCTCGTTATACTTTCTGGATTTGATTTCGACAGAGACTTGTCATTCATCAAGACTCAATCAGTAAAACTCACGTTCAGTGGGAAACTAGTATTCGAGGCGCATTGGTATGGATTCTCCGATGGGCCACGAAAATAGGTGACCAGAAACCCAAACGAAGTTTGTGGCAGAGTTGCGACTTACATGTTGAAGACGTTTGGGTATTTGGTTGATCAAGGACACCCGTTGTTTATTAGCGAGTTCGGGATCGACCAAACAGGAGCCAATGTCAATGGCAATAGGTACTTGAGCTGCTTCTTGGGCGTGGTAGCTGAGCTTGACCTGGATTGGGCCTTGTGGACACTCACCGGGAGCTACTATGTGAGAGCAGGAGTTGTCGGGTTAAACGAGTACTACGGAGTCTTGGATTATAACTGGTGTGCACCCAGAAATTCGAGCTTCATTCAAAGAATTTCATCTCTCCAAGCTCCTTTCCGAGGTAAGTCGACGTATATTAGTTTCTTTTTATTCGAGATTGATGATGTCAACCGAAATTTTGATGCAAATCTTTTGTTATTCCGCAACGACATATGTAGGTCCAGGTTTGTCAGAAGCCAAACCGCACAATGTTATCTTCCACCCCTTAATGGGGCTCTGTATCACAAGGAAACCATTCGCCCACCAGTTGCGGTTAGGTCCCTGCTCCGAGTCCTACGCTTGGAGTTATTCCCCCCATAAGACTTTACTAGCAACAAGGACGCATTTATGTTTACAAGCTGGCGAATCCGGGACATCGGCGAAGCTCGAAATCTACTGCACCAGCTCGAATTCGAAGTGGGAGATGATATCGGATTCCAAGATGCATCTCTCGGCTAAACTCAGGGATGGCAAATCCGTTTGTCTCGACGTAGCGTCGGACAACACTATCATCACAAGCAGCTGCAAATGTATAAATAAAGACAACACATGTGACCCTTCGAGCCAATGGTTCAAACTCGTGGATAGCACAAGGAGCAGCTCAAGCGTTTAGTTTTATCGACCGTCTGGTTATAGTTTTATCCGTTTCGGAATGTATAGGAATTAGACAGGCATCGATCATAGAAAATCCAGTTAATTTTATCAATAAAGGCAATTGTTTTCTCTTTTACATAGATTAATCAAAACTCAAGAAACTTCACCTGAATAAATCAAACGACGAAGAAAATAATTCGAGCCAAATCGAATTTTATTCAAGTGTACATGACCAAGATTTTTATGCCTCGCGGTATATGCTACAAACCTGTGTTCAAATCATTCAATATTTCAGTCATAATCTCTTCCGGTAATGGAGCAGTGGGACTTTCCTTGGAGTCGAAACTGGCCAAAGGACTTTCTGAGCTCGATAAACGATTCCTCGCGAACCCCCCTCCGATTACTCAAATAGTCGGATAGACTCTTTTGCGGACTCCGCCGTTCGTCTAAACTTAGCGACATCTTTGTTTAAATATATAAACGATAATGGAGGCATGTCCGAGAAACGTATATGCACAAAATTTGATATGTTAATGGAAGCTTGATTCTGTTTCAAGTCTACTATTTTTTATGTCTGTGGGCTTGTGATCTATATCTTCCTTCTCAATGGCATAATTGTGTGGCAATACTGTTGTGTTTGTGCTATCCAAACTGATGCGAGTTGCGATGATAATACACAGGAAGGGGAAATGATGAAAGCTGCAGTGTACCCTGAACTAGCTACACGTTCATCAGGTTAAACAGCTGCAACTCGTGTCAAGAATGTAATCCTTGGACAACTACCGGGACGTTCTCGTGACATTCTTGCCGACAATTGGCGTGCTTTGACTTCATATCGACCCTGACTGTTTACCAAACTTTCTCGTGTAATCCTGTAACCTTGCTTGTTTCGATACTTGGGTAGGAGGATTTGGACTCTAAAGTTACCTTTTATAGAAAGGTTTGCTACTCTGGGCTACCACCATTGCGTTTTTGCCTCAACCATGTTTGTTCATCAGTCACCCGTTTCAGTTTCCAGTATAATAGTAGTTTAAATGCTATTAATTGATTCAATTATTTAGAATTCAATATCATATTATGATTAAGCAAGAGTTTAAACGTGTCAAAAAGGTTCAAGGGCAGTACTTCATGGAGAGCAAGCGGATACAAATATTCATGCGTGTTTAGTAA